GTTCTCTCTCTCTCTGTTCTCTTTCTCTCTCTCTGTTCTCTTTCTCTTTCTCTCTCTCTCTGTTCTCTTTCTCTGCCTGTCTCTCTCTGTCTTTCTCTCCCCCTCTCTCTGGCTCTCCCACCTCCCCCACCACCCTGTGCTCGCTCTCCCTGCGGGGCCTAGTTGCGGGACTGCCTGGATGTTGACGTCTACAACCTCTTCCACAAGAAGCTGACGGAGCGGACACTGATGAAGGACCCCAACTTTAAGTGGTGCACTCACGTAGGTACCTCACGGGCTGACGGAGCTCGGCGTGGGTGGTGGGGAGGGATTAGCCGCCGTGGTTCGACAGAGACTCGGGGCAGGAGGTGGGGGGAGCAGGTGCTGAAATGCGAAAGGTCTCCCGCTGATGGGCATCTCTCCTTCTCACAGTGCTCGAACGGGTTCATTTATGACGGGAACCAGAGCAAAGTGATGTGCCCGCAGTGCAAAGGCAGCTTCTGCTTCGAGTGTAGGAGGCCGGTGAGTCGGGGTGGGGCGTGGGAGGGGAGGGGGGGAGGGTCAGGGCCTCAGGGAAGGGGTGGGGGCAGGGACAGCATCTGCTGTCACTGCTCGTTGACGCGGAGATGTGACGGGAACTCTGCGGTGCAGAGGGATCTGGGTGTACTACAACACAAATCACTGCCGGTTAGAGATGGCCAGTTACTGGGAAGGGCAGGTGAGATCCCGGTGTTTAGGGGGAGGTAACGGCCTCGTGGTCTTATCACTGTTAATCCAGCTAACGTCCTGGGGACCCAGGTCTGAATCCCGCCACAGCAGGTGGTGGAATCTGAATTCCATAAAAATATGTGGAATTAAGAATCTAATGATGGCTGTGAATCTCTTGTCAGGAAAATCCCATCTGGTTCATTCATGTCCCTTTAGGGAAGGAAACTGCTGTCCTTACCTGGTCTGACCTACATGTGACTCCAGACCCACACAGCAAATGTGGTTGACTTTCAACTGCCCTCTGGGGCAATTAGGGATGGGGCAATAAATGGTGCCCAGAAGGTATTTTAGAAAAAGTCGGAATGTCTTGCTACAGTTGTACACAGCCTCGTTGAGACTCCACCCAGTTTTGGTCTCCAGGAGGTGGCTCGGACAAGGCCAGCTTGGCCAGTCCCCCCCCACTCCATCCAGGGATGAAGGGGTTTGTATTTTAATTCATTCGTAGTTCGGAAAGTGCTGTCCAAGGATCTTTGGGCGAATTTCTGCAGCGCATCTCATAGGGGGCTACGCTGGCTAGTCTGCGAGACAGCTCTCCCAATTTACTTTTAGCACTAGCTCCCCCCCCCCCCCCCCCGCCGCCCCGAGACGTTAGAGAGGAGGAGTTCGCAGGGTCAACAGGGCTGCGTGTGCCGTTCTTGATGCCAGGTCATCTGTCCAGTCTCGTTCCTTTTTTGAGATTTTGCCGCGATTGGTGCAGCTGAGTGGCTTCCTTCAGGGAGCACTTGACGACATTGGCTGCGGGCCTGGAGTCACATGCGTAGGATGGCAGTTTCCTTCCCCTAAAGGACGTTGGCGGACCAGTCGGGCTTTCCCAGCGATTGGCAACGGATTCACAAGGTCAGCGATAGGCTGCAGGTTTTCGTTTCACTGAACTCAAACTCCACCTGCTGCCCTGGGTGGGACTCGAACCCCAGGTCCCCCAGAAGGTCAGCTGAGTTTCTGGATTCATAGTCCCGCGTCGGCACCACTCAGCTGTTGCCTCCCCTTGAGTTTGTGCCATGAGGGAGACGTTGTGCAGGCTGGGGGTTTGGGAGAAGGAGAGGCTGATCTTGCTCAGATCCTGAGGGTTGGGTGCCAGGAGGGCGTTTATCCCAGAGCTAGGGGAACCTTGTTTATGTGAAAACTGTGCTGTCCTGTTTAGAGGCGAGGAAGAATTTTATTTTAATATATATCTCTGTCTCTGAGCTTTTACGTCTTTGGAGGCATCTTCCCCAAACAGCACCATTTTAAATGTACTACGTGACCCACCAGGAAGGTGGAGACGGGACTGCAAGCAGATCAGCCTTCAAGGGGCTGAATGGCCTTCTCCCGCTCCTATTCATCTACTCGGAAGGGCTGGGCTGGCTCCAGCATTTATTGCTCTGTCCCTAATTGCCCCCCTTGAGGAGGTGGGGTATGTGAGCTGCCCCCTTGAACCGCTGCAGTCGCACATGCTGTAGGGTAGACCCACAATGTCCCTCTCGGAGGGAATTCCAGGGATTCGGACCCAGCCACACATGGCCGATATATTTCCAAGTCGGGATCGGGAGTGGGCTTGGAGGAGGGGAACTGGCAGGGGGCTGGTGTTCCCATGTATCTGCTGCACCCCCCCTTGTCCTTCTAGATGGTAGAGGGGCAGTGGGGGGTTTGGAAGGTGCTGCCTGAGGAGCCTCGGTGAGTCCCTGCAGGGCATCTTGTAGATGGTACACACTGCTGCGGCTGTGCCTGAGCGGTGGGGGCGGGGAGCGGGTGTTTGTGTATGCGGTGCCAATCGAGCGGGAGAGGGGAGCTGCTCTGTCCCTGGATGGTGTCGAGCTTCTCGAGTGTTGTCGGAGCTGCCCCCCATCCAGGGCAAGTGGGGAGTATCCCATCACCCTCCTGACTTGTGCTGGGTCGATTGGGGTGGGGGGGGACAGGAGGGGAGTGACTCGCTGCAGGATTCCCAGCCTCTGACCTGCTCCTGTAGCCCCTGTGTTTATGTGGGGCTGGTCCATGGTCAGTTTCTGGTCAATGGGAACCCCCAGGATGTTGATAGTGGGGGGGCAGGGGATTGAGTGATGGCAACACCACTGAACGTCAAAGGGCGATAGTTAGATTGTGTCCTGTTTAGTGATGGTGTGTTTGACTATGCTGGTTCATATGTCTATCCATTCACATGATTTTGTGCCTAATACGGGTCATTTGGCATTGCCAATCTCTCGCCCTCACACTCTCCTATTTTGCTGTCTCTCTTTCTCACTGCCTTTCTCTTGTGCTCTCTCTCTGTTTAGCTCTGCCTTTGTCCTCCCTCTCTCTGTTTCATGCTCTCTCTCTGTTTCACACTCGCTCTCCCTCCTTCCCTTTCGTGCATGCTCTCCCTTCTCTATCACGCGCTCTTTCCTCTTTTACACTGTCTCTCTTTCAATCTTTTTTTAACTGTCTCTTGCGCCCTCCCTCTTTTGCACCCCCCGTCTCTCTCTTTCGCTCTGTCTCCCCTTTTGCGCGCTCTCCCCTTTCGCTCTCTCTGTCTCTGTAACAGTCTCGCTCCAGCCATTCCCTAACCATTCCTGTCCTTTCCCAGTGGGAGCCACAACACCAGGGAATCAGCTGTGAGGATTTCCAGAACTGGAAGAGGGAGAATGATCCGGAGTACCAAGCACAGGGCCTGGCAGCCTACCTGAAAGAGAACGGGATTGGTACGTGGGAGAACGACCCCGATCCCTGCAGGTTTCCGGGCAAGGCCGGGGAGAACGGATCCAGAGGGGTAGAGCTGCTGGAGACAGGAAATGGGTAGATCCGACAGCCCTGTTCCCAGTGGCCTGACTGGAGATTCCCGTTGGGAGGAGGGAATGTGTGTGGGCAGGATTAAGTCTGTCCACCCCAGGGTGACCAGATCACACCAGAAACTCGTCGTGTATGCACAGAGAGGCCCCTCCGTACTTCTCCATCTCTCACCTCCCCTAACTCCCCATCTCTGTCCTCCCCCCTCCCCTCCCACACCCCCCTCTCTCTCCCTCACTCTCTCCCCTCCC